GCATTTTTTCAAATCCCAGAAAGAGAGTTAAACAATTAATTCTGTCATTAACATTGTAATCAAGAGCTCTGTGAAATGCAGGTACTAAGCATGAAGCATATGGACTACCACAGTCCTCGAAAGTCATCAGTTATTTATATGTGTGTGTATATATGCCTGACCTCATTCTACAAAGGATTTGTGGTGGCTTATGATAAACACTGAGAAAAATGCAAAAATAAAGAATCAGGAAAAGACAGATATAAATAAGAGTAGAAAGTCAAGGCTGGCAGAGAAATTAAAGGGAAATATGCAAAAGAATAAAGGTCTGATTAAATGATTGAACTAAAATTTTGGCTCTGAGCTCCCTGGAGGCCAAAGTGAAGAGGCAGATAAGTCAGTTAGCTAATTCTTATGAAAAAGAAAAACACACTCCAGCGCCTCAGGGAAAGCAAAGCTTTTATTAGCTCTCACCTTCCAAAGAAATGGTGCATGTAGGGGTTGCTACATATGAACAATATCATTTTTCTAATGTATTTTGGCATAAAAAACAAAACACGATCCACATATAAGAGAAGTTTGTAGAAGAGTTTGAAAAGGCAAGTAAGCAAAAAATGAAACATAAGTCATCCATAATCATAGCTCTAAGAGAGAGCTGTTATGTTTTGGTGTATATCCTTTCCAAACTTTTCTGGTACTCTTATAGTACGTTTTATGTACTATATTTGCACATAGAAATAGATATATTCGTGTGTTTTATCTTTATAAAAATCTTTTGAGGGATAGACAAAGTTTAATTACAGAACCAGCCCAATCCAGTTCAACTTTGTATAATAAAAGATGTGAGTTGTTTTTCAGTTGCCTTGCAACTTGCAATAAAGCTTTTTCTTTTCTTAAAAACTGGTGCCATGGTATTAACTTTTGTGTGCATCAGACAGTGGGCCCTTGCTTGGTGTAACAAAAACAAGTTTAAGATAAATCGTGCAAAATGCTCAACACAATGTTGTCAGCAATGTTGTAGGCAAATTATAAGCAAAAACACAGTATTAATAGATCATTTTCATTTATTGGACATGCTGTGATGGTTAATACTGAGTGTCAACTTGATTGAAGGGTGAAAGTATTTGATCCTGGGGGTGTCTGTGGGGTGCTGCCAAAGGAGAGTAACATTTGAGTCAGTGGGCTGGAAAAGGCAGACCCACCCTAAATCTGGGTGGGCACCATCTAATCAGCTGCCAGTGTGGCCAGAATATAAAGCAGGCAGAAAAACATGAAAAGGCTAGACTGGCCTAGCCTCCCAGCCTACATCTCTCTCCCATGCTGGGCGCTTCTGGCCCTCAGACGTAGGACTCCAAGTTCTTCAGTGTTGGGACTCAGACTGGCTTCCTTTCTCCTCAGCTTGCAGATGGCCTATTGCGGGACCTTGTGATCATGTGAGTTAATACTGCTTAATAAACTACTATCCTATTATTTCTGTCCCTCTAGAGAACCCTAATACACATGCCTTATATCCCTGGCATTGTAATAAGCACTTTATTTAAGCTGAGCTGCTACCCAGTTTTCACCACAGACCTCTCCCATACTAGATTATTAGCATCATTATATGACTTTAGGGAGATAAAGCAACTCAAGGTTACTCAGTAAGTGATAACTTTCACATCCAAGTTTGTCCAAAAGCCCATATGGGTTCTATTGCAGTGAGTTGCTCTGTTTCTGCACCTATCACTCTTCCCATTTTACAGATGAGTAAACCTTGGCTCTGAGAGGTTGACTATTGGCCTAGGTTAGTGAGAGATGGAGCCAGGGCTTCAGTTGTAGAGTACTGGCTTTGCTCCTGCCCTGAGATGAGCACAGTCCCTGAAGAATGTTGCAAACCAACCTGCTCCCACTTTGTGTTGGCAAGATACTGCTCTTCAGCTGCCCCAGAGCATTTATTCTCATGGTTAATGTAAAAGCCAATGAGAGTAAACTTGGATGTACTGGTTCTTGCTTTTGCAGTTATCTGCCACCAGAATGGTTGCTGTTGTTTCATGTCTGTATATATGCCCCTTGGCATTGTGACCAAATGCTTAGGGGTTTAGTCCAAGTAGTATTTGATCTAGAACCTTCTCTCCCATCCATATGGATTCTTGTATTGTCTTCTCCAGATATAGAAAAGCAAAACTAGCAAACTCCTCAGTTGTCACTTAAATGAGAAGAGATTCACTGCTTTTAACTAAGAGAGCAATGGAAATTAGCAACAGGAAAATTATTAGCACACATATCAGAGCAGAAAGTCCCCGCTTATGGCAGCTGACTCTCAAAGTCATGCCGCACACCTCCTTTCCTTGGCTACACAGTCCTAGATGGTTTGATACCCAGCCCTAGAGAGTAGCCAGGAAAGAGCTTTGAGGGTTGGGCTCTGCTAGGAAAGTGACAAACAGTGACTCAGACCCAGGACCCAATGGCTTGGTCAGTTCTCTAATTCTTCAGACTCCTATCTGGTCAATTATTAATGTCAATCTAGGCACAGCATAGTTTCTTTTTAAAATACTAGTAAGCTAGGTGGGGTGGTACGGTCAGCTATGGGCTAATCTGGTTAGTATGAAAAAGCTCATGTTGATTGCCATTACAAGCCAGGCTGAGAAATAGCTCAGATTATAGTGTCATCTGAAGAACAGAAAGTGTGTGTGCAAACTATTTCTTATTCTTGCTCCATCTTTTGCTGAGACCCAAGTATCTTTGTAGCTTGCAATCCAGGGCAGGATGAACCTGTTCATCATGCCAGATGTGAAGCTTGTGAGGTGCATGTGTGTGCCTTGTGATTTGTTTCCCCCACCTTAACCTGCGTGGGTGGGAGGCTGAGCAGCTGGAGTCCTGGGAGACGGCCATGGGCAGAGGGTTGGGAGGCTGGTGCAGGGAGTCCTGGCCAGAGGCACGTGGATCCAAGGAACAGGCTAAGCCCAGAGCAGGCTTAGCCCCCCTCACAGCAGGTGGCTGAGGTGTGGAGTACTACAGACGGATCAGGAAGAGGCCAGTCCTGGGAGGCTCAGGGACGGGGTTGGCGGGGGAATGAGAGAGGAGAGAGGGAGAGAGAAAGAGAGAAAGTATCTGGTTGGGGTGATGTGATGTGTGGGTTGGCCCAGTTTAGAGTGGCCAGGAATGGGGTAGAAATGCCCTGAGCCTTTTCCTGTTTCTACTCCCTAAGGGTTTTAGTTACAAAAGGGACCAGGAAATGTCTTCCTGCTTTGGAAGAAAAAGAGCCCACAGACAGATATAAAAGGTAAATCCTCTCTTCAGGAAGAAAGTAGAGGTTGAATAGAGTGTGCTGCAAACTCAGAGATACCTAGATGTAGGGGAGGCGTTGCCTCCTTTTCTCTCTCTGACACTGTGGTGGTGGAAATAATGCTGGCTTCATACTTGGGCAGAATCAAATTTGAATCCAGCTCCAGCAGTGATTTATCTGTACCCACTTTGCTCATCCATTAACCCGGGATGATGAATCCCCTTCTGCTTCAGTCGTTAGGAAGATTAAACAAGATACAGTGTCTTTAAGGTGTCTAGCACAGCACCTGGCAGGAGGGAGGTGCTTAATAAGCCTTCTCCTTGCTTGAGGTGGAGCAGCTGCTAGCGAGAGCACAGGGGCTGATGCAGGGACCTGTCACGGGTCTGTCAGCCTTCTCAGCTCCAATGCCGCTGCTGCCGGGCGAGCCACGTTCATCATTCCAGAGTGAGTGCTGTGAAGGGAGGTTATGGATCCATCACACCCCGGGTGCAGTGGGAGGTTCAGAGGAGAAATATGAGATCTGCTTTCCATTTGCAGTCTGTTTGGGCGCATGATGGATAAGTGTGTGTGAACAAGTGGAGCATAACTCAGACCGCACAGGAACAGGTGGAGGAGGAGGGCGAAGCTCCTGCTAGCTGGGCCTGCTGGGAAAGGGTCGCATGGGGAGGGGCTGGCCTCAGTGCAGGCATTGGGTAGAGCAGAGGTGAGTGCAGGGCAGGGGACAGGTGAGGGGCGGTGCTGCAGCTTGGAGCCAAGCCAAGGTGGTGGCCGTCAGTGTCCTGGACATGAAGATGGTCAGGGCCAGTAGGAGATGGCACTGGAGGGAAGAGGGAAGAGGGAGGGAGGGGTGTCAAGTTCTAGGTGGTTTCAGTTTGGACTGGCTGGTAGCGTGGCTGGCTGAGTAGGTAAGAGACGGATATACCTGGGTTCAGATCCTTTCCTGCCATTGCTAACAGGGAGACTTGGGCTAAATTACTTCACCTCCATGATTTTGCTTGTCTTTAAGATGTGCCTGATGGTAGTGTGACTTAGGAGGGTTACATGAGTTGCTGTGTGTAAATACCTGGCACACTGTGGGGGTGCAGGAAACAGCAGCTCTTGTTATGTAGGTGCTAATACCATGTGTGTGCCGTATAACCTTCCTACCTTAGGAAGGGGCTTTCGCTGTCCCTGGGCACCCCCAAGCATGGAAATAAAGGAACATCTTGAGTTATTTCAAGGGAAATTCCAGGTACCTAGCCACCCCAAGAGGTAAGTGAGCAACTTGAAAAGCAAGAAGGTAATAGTAGCTTAAAACAGTAGCCAAGGAAGTTAGAATCGGAGGTGTCTGATTCCCTGTAGAAACGAACGGTAACATTGTAACATATATCCAAATTGTTTTTCAGAAACCTGGACCCCCACCAGACAGATCCACTGGCATGCAGAAATCAGATGAGGGGGACCAGAGGACTGAACTCAGACCACCATTCCTTGTTCTACATTTCTTCTTGAGGGGCCTGAGGAAGTCACACCCACAAGCCAGAGCTAACATTATTTTCTGCTGACCCCCAGTTTTTTTTTATTTTGGTGGGGGGGACGGAGTCTCGTTCTGTCGCCCAGGCTGGAGTGCAGTGGCGTGATCTCGGCTCACTGCAACCTCTGCCTTCTGGGTTCAAGCAATTCTCCTGCCTCAGCCTCCTGAGTAGCTGGGACTACTACACCATGCCAGGCTATTTTTTGTATTTTAGTAGAGACGGGGTTTCAGCGTGTTGCCCAGGCTGGTCTCGAACTCCTAAGCTTAGACAGTCTGCCCACCTTGGCCTGCCAAAGTGCTGGGATTACAGGCGTAAGACACTGTGCCCAGCCTGCTGACCCCACATTTTAAAACAAATCTTCCCTTCCTTAACTGATGACAAGTCAGGAAATCTTTGAATCGACCTATGACCTATAAGCTCCCGCTTTGGGGTATCCAGCCTTTTGAGGCCAAACCAATGTGTAACCTCCATCTATTGACTTACGCTTTCCTGAAATTTACCCCCTGCCTTTAAAAACCCTTACTTGCAAGCCCTTGGAGACCCTTCCTTGAAACCCTTTCAAGCCCTGGTCACGTGTGAGCTGATTCTCCCTGCTCAGCATCCAGAAACAAAAGCCTCACTTTCTCTCACTGCAGTCCTGGTGTCAGTGTTTGGTTTTATTGCACCAGGAGAGCAGACCCACGTTAGGTTCAGCAACAATCACATTGAGTCTAAAAGAGAGGGAGATAGGGTTGTAAAGAAGATATTGTAGCTTTAAAAAGGGGGTGGGATTTGGAGAAAGTGAGTATTTAAGACTCAGTGTTTGATACCCATGTATAGAGCTAAGGCCCTTTGTTAGCATTTAGGAAGACTAAATTGAAAATATTCATACAATTACACATTTACTAGTATTAGTATGTTTGAATTTTTTTGCTTACACGGAGCCATGATCTGTTAAATTTCAAGACATCCAGTGTCTTAGTTTTCTCCCCTTATAAGCAGCAGACTAGAGAAGAAAACATGCCCACCTGACCAGGGGTATCATAGTTACAAAGCCACTGGATACAATTTACCTGGCTGGAATGTCCCCTTCTGGTAATTACTCTTGGGAGGTGTTACATCTAAAGGGAACAGTGCTTTCTGGGCCACCTTGGGTTTGCCAAGAACAAGTTGCTAATCTCACCTTTTTTACTCTTACCTTCCTGATAAGGTTGCTGTAATACAGGCATGGCACAGACACAGCAGAGAATCTGTCTAAACATCCGACATCTTGAGGACCAAAAGAAATGTGAGCTGGCACAGGTCTGTTTGTACCCGGTCATCAGCTGTACCCAGAATGGGGATAGGTCAATTTGGAGAAAAGTTTCTCTCTTGAAATGATATACTAATGTAGGGTTCAGGTGGGAACTGACCAGATCTATCATTATTTACTGACCACTTAGGATGGACTGATTTCCTCTAATATTGTGGCTAAAGTGCTTCACTGAACATGTAGCACAAAGGAGGCTTGCCCTCTTTGTAGAAGGGAGGAATTTTTGGGCCAGGCATGGTGGCTCACACCTGTAATCCCAGCACTTTGGGAGGCTGAGGTGGGTTGATCATCTGAGGTCAGGAGTTCGAGACCATCCTGGCCAACATGGCGATATCCCATCTCTACTGAAAATATAAAAATTAGCCGGGCGTGGTGGTGGGCACCTGTAATCCCAGCTACTCGGGAGGCTGAGGCAAGAGAATTGCTTGTACCCGGGAGGTGGAGGTTGCAGTGAGCCGAGATCACACCATTGCACTCCAGCCTGGGTGACAAGAGCAAAACTCTGTCTCAAAAAAATAAGGAATTTTTGTTGGATTGACCAAATACCTGAGCTCCGAGTGCTGGGCATTTTATGAGGAGATAAGGCCACTGTACCTTGGACCCATTGTACAGATGAAAACTGAGGTTCTGAGGTTAGGGAGCTTGCCCAAGATCAAGTGGTCAATTCATCAATTTGAACCCCATGTTCCTTTGTGTTATGCCCTGCACCTGGGTCCAGCACCCCAACTGTTTAAGTTCTGCCTAATCTAGATGTGACTGAACACAGATGTAAAGCCTTAGGGTCTTACGAGTTTGACTCTCAACATTGGGATTCATCTGGTTCTTTATGGGAAAGGTGTCACACTGCTGATGGGCAGAAGCTAGGAGACAGAGAAGCTTTAGCTTGGTAAACTGGACTGGGCATGGTGGCACACGCCAGTAATCCCAGCACTTTGGTAGGCCGAGGTGGGTGGATCACTTGAGGCCAGGAGCTTGAGACCAGCCTGGCCAATGTGGTGAAACCCCATCTCTACCAAAAATACCAAAATTAGCTGATCATGGTGGTGTGCCCCTGTAGTCCCAGCTACCTGGGAAGCTGAGGCAGGAGAACTGCTTGAACCAGGGAGGTGGAGGTTGCAGTGAGCTGAGATTGCCCCACTGTACTCTAGCCTGGGTGACAGAGCGAGACTCCAACTCAAGGAAAAAAATAAATAAAGCTTGGTGAACTGAAGGGAAACAACCCATTAAGGGCAAGAGGTTTCATTTATTCAGTGTCACTCAACCCCTATCCTGTGCCAGGCCTCACTGGAGCACTGAGGGTACAGAGGTGAAGGTCCCCCAGTCTGGTGTGAAGATGGTAACAATTCATATGAGAGTGGTTTCATAAAAAAGCAAGACAGAGTCCACCTCTCCCTTGCTTAGAACACTCCATTATATTCTCATTCAACTTTTTACAGATCTGATCTTTCCAGACTGTGTCCTTCAAGTCTTATTTCAGAAAAAATAAACAGCTTTACTGAGATATAATACACATGCTGGTAGGCTGAATAATGGATCCCAAAGATGTCTATGTCCTGCTCCCTGGAACCTGTATGTTACTTTACCTGGAGAAATGGCCTTGGATATGTGGTTAAGGATCTAGAGACACAGAAATTATCCTGGGTCATTCATGCAGGCCTATTGTAATCAGAAGGGGTCTTATAAGAGGGAGGCAGGAGGGAGAACGGGAGAAAAAGGAAATGCGATGTTGGAACTGGAAGAGTCTAAATGAGGCACTTTGAAGGTGCAAGAAGGGGCCATGACTCATGGAATGTAGGTAGCTTCCAGAAGCTGAAAAAGCAGGAAACAGATTCTCCACTGGACTTTCAGAAGGAAATACTTGCCAATATCTTCTTTTTGGACGTTTGGTTATTTTTTTTTTTTGAGAGGGAGTCTTGCTCTGCCACCAGGCTGGAGTGCACTGGCACAATCTTGGCTCACTGCAACCTCTGACTCCCGGGTTCAAGTGATTCTCCTACCTCAGCCTCCCAAGTAGCTGGGATTACAGGCACACGCCACAATGCCCAGCTAATTTTTGTATTTTTAGTACGGACGTGGTTCACCATGTTGGTCAGGACGGTCTCGAGCTCCTGACCTCAGGTGATCTGCCCACCTTAGTCTCCCAAAGTGTTGGGATTACAGGCGTGAGCCACCACGTCTGGCATGATTTTGGACTTCTTTTGATCTCCAGACTGTAAAATAGTAAGTTGGTATTGTTTGAAATCACTAAGTGTGGTAGTGTGTTACAGCAGCAATAGGTAACCAAATGCACAGGCTGTACAATTGTGGATTTTACTATATTCAGAGTTGTGCAACTAATACACAATCAATTTTGGAACATTTAATGAATCTCCTTCTCCCCCTTCAAAAACAAAACACAAAACAAAACTCCATTCCCATGACACTCACTCTTCTTTTCCACTGGTTGTTAGCCATGTGGCCTTGGGTAAGATCCCTAACCTGTGTGGATGAGCCTCAGTTTTCATCTGTAAATGAGAGACCACTCAATTCCCAAGGATGTTGAATAATTCCATGAGATCACATGTGTAATCCCTCAGCACAGTGCCTGCCATCAGCATTCAGTAGAAGATCGTTTTATTATTTTATTAATACCAGTGAGGAGTCTGTTGCAGAAGTCCAAGGGAGAGATGAAAGAGGCTGAACTAGGCCAGTGGTTCAGGGATGGAGGGCATCTTGTCAGTGGCTCAAAGCTTGTGATCCTCCCTCATTGGACAACAGGTGGCTTCCTTCCATGGCGGCAACTTGCTGAAAACCTGCCTGCTCGTGCCTGTGCAGCCTCTAGAAGGCAGTGGAGCCAAGGCTGTGGATAGAACAGTGTGTCTGTGCGTTCAGCCTTTTTTCCCTGTTCTGAAACTTCATTGTATGTTTGCATTGGACTGTTCCCTCTCTCCTTGCTCTGTGCAGATGATGATTTTTTTTTTTTTTTTTTTTTAAAGATACAGCATCCAGCTCTGTTGCACAGGCTGGAATGAAGTGGCGCAATCATAGCTTGCCTTGACCTCGTGGACTCAAGTGATCCTCCTGCTGCAGCCTCCCAAAGTGTTGGGATTACAGGCATGAGCCACTCACTTCACCTGGCCAGTTGATTTATTTTTTAAACCACCTCACATAGCAGGGTAACCTCTGAGTTCCTGTTCCATCTTGCGGCCTGGGATTAGGTACAGCTAAAACTGCCAAGTTGCGGACAGCTATTTTTTCCAGAGCTCAAGTGGTTGGAGAACATGGGCGCCCCCTCCCTGCAGCTCAGCAGAACCTAGAATGAACCACAGTTGCTCTTCTGCCAGTTCAAAAGTTAGGGCCTGTTCTATCTTGCATTCCTCCTCTACTCCACAGGGCGTATGAGTTCTGCCCAAATCACGTGGGTTGTGGTGGGTGGGGGTGTGTGCTGAGCGTGATTCCCTGAAGAAAATTCAGATGCTGTCACCAGGCAAAACCAACAGATGTCCACTACAGCTACCACCGTGGAACAGAATAATTCACCCATTAAGCACCTGGCTTAGGACTCCAGTTCCCAAGGATGGAATCTCAACTCCACCATTTACAAGTTGTGTGACCATGGCTGGGTCACTTCACCAGTCAGCCTGAGTCTCAGTGTCCCATCTGCACAAAGGGAGTGATGGCCCACATCGCCAGCTTGAATCACCGTGAAAGCACCTTGCAAAGAGTCCAAGCAGGCTCAGGCTCAGGCAGGTGGCGCTGCAGTTTGGTGTGGCATGAACTATATCTCTGGCATGTTGTCCAGCCAGTTCCAGGGCAGCTGTCTGTGGAGAGCAGCCGGATGTAGCACAAAGAGCCAGGCTGTCCTGGGTTCAAAGCCTGAACCTCCCACCTTAGGAGCTACACGTTCCTCCTCCATGATGATCACCTTTCCTGCCTCCCAGGGTTGTTGGAAGTGTCAAGGGGACATGTAGACAGCCTGGTACACTGTGTTCTGTGAGTGGTGATAGCTGTGTTCATAGTACAGTTGTTACTCCACAGCATGCCAGGAGTCCAGATGTGAATGGAACAGGACAGACCCCGTACTCTGTGAACAAAAGCCCATCTTTCTGGGTAAAGGGTGCATTTGGCCAGCAGCCAAGGGCCCTGGGAAGTCTTTGTGCAGCCCGGCCCTTCCCTCCTTCAGTTCAGCGTGGGGTGGGTACAGCCTCACGGAGGTTCATGTTTCACTATTAATTATCCCCCAGGCTCTTTTATCAGCCTGTCTCTCATTCCCACCACAAGGCTGTCAGCCAGACAGTTGGAACAGAATCTCATCTGGAGTGTGTTTGCTCTTCTCCCCCATCGCTGGCAGAGATCTGGGATCAGCTCTGCATTAGGGCAAGTTGTAAGTAAACACACATTTGCTCAAATGTGGCCCTTCTAGTAGAGACTCAATTTTCTGTATTCCCCTTCCTTTAGTACGAATGACTTGGAGGTTGTGGTAGGCAGACCATGGCTCCGACAGTGTTTATTAATGGTTATATTGGACTCAGTGAAGGTTTCTGTCCTTACTTGGTATTGAGTTACTACTTTTAAGAGACCCGTCTAGTAATGCTATTGTCATGTTACTCATTTTATAAATCCTATCTATAATGTTATTGTCACAGAAATGACAGAAATGTTATGGAAGAATCTCAAAATACTGCTAAATGTGTTAGTCAAAAAATGTCTTTGCCCCTAAAATGTGTAAAGTTATTGTACATTGTATAACTATTATCACAGAGTATTATGTTGAATATACTATTTCAGACCCTATTCTTGCTACTTAGTGAGAGAAAATGCCTTTTCCATAAAAGATTTAAGAAAGAATGCTCTAGATGGGAACACTTTAGGTTTTAAGTATTCCCACACATTTTATAATGAAGTAGATAACTGGAACTATAATTAGGTGTTTCCAAAAATTGATACTAATTTCTAAAAAAAAAAAAAAAAAGTTACAATTTAAAAGCTGTTTTGTTTTCCTTCTTCCTAATTCTGGAAAGTTATGAATTAAAGAAACTAAATTTGGAAACTGGCTCTAACCTATATTTATCCTTTTCCTCAAAGCAATTTAAAAAAACTTTGTATTCTCATGAACAAAGAAATGTTCATCATGATACATCTAGCATTATATATATTATATATGTTATACATATATATATTTTTTGGAGACAGTCTCGCTCTGTCACCCAGGCTGGAGTGCGGTGGTGCCATCTGAGCTCACTGCAACCTCCGCCTCCTGAGTTCAAGTGATTCTCCTGCCTCAGCCTCCCTAGTAGCTGGGGTTACAGGCGTGTGCCAACACGCCAGGCTAATTTTTGTATTTTTAGAAGAAACAGGGTTTCAACATGTTGGCCAGGCTGGTCTCGAACTCCTTACCTCAGGTGATTTGCTCCCCCTCAGCCTCCCAAAGTGCTGAGATTGCAGGCATGAGCCACCATGCCCAGCCAGCTAGCATAGTCTTTTTACATAATTTTTTTTTGCTGGTAGAATTTTCACATGGCATTATGACAGTAGCACTTTCTTCATGTAGGTATTTAAGATTGTGTGCTGAAAAATTAATAGCATAAACATA